TTCCGATCACTAAAAGGGTCACAGGAAAAAACAAATCAGAGCAATCAAACTGAGGCACGAAATCACTTTCATGGAAATGAAAACAGAAAACCCATCAGAGTTAAAATCCCTTAAATTTTCTCAGTAACCAAACAAGTGCAGCATTAAAAAAACCCATTAAGGAAAAAAATAAAATGCCAGATCTGTTAACAGGAAAACCCATTAAAACACAACAAAAAGAAATCACTTTTATTTAGTGACCCCATAACGCCAATAAAACAAAGCCAGCAAGTACGATTCAGAAAAATAAAAACCACTTATTATGTTGGAAACGACGGGGTTTATTACCGGCAGTGTTGGTTGGTGAGTTAGGATTAGGGTTTGGTGTGTTGATTCAGCTCTAACGGAGAGAAAAAGAAAGGGTAGTTTTGTGTTTTATAAAAATATAGTAAAGAGAAAAGGAAATTGAAAAAGGAGAGAATCCTAAGGTGCCTTGTGGCGGTCTGTCTCTGTCTCTGTCACTGACACGAATGCCTGTTACCTTCTTATTTGCTTTATTCAATCAATTTTTTCTTTTTTCTTTTTCAAAGAAGATAATAGTTAATTAATTTTATTTCTATCCCAATAACGTAGCATCGATGTCATTTCAGAAAATTCTTACGCATATTGCTTTTGTGGATGCAGGATCAATGAAAATCGTTCTTTAAGAATGGATTGTGCAAGGTCCATAGCAATGGCCCAAAGAGGAAGAAGGTGCTGGGAAGCTTATTGGCCCTTACCAACGTTTTTCTTGGGATTTGTTCATAGCAATTAATTAACCAAAAACCGAAGAAAAAGGAATGCTCTTAACCCGCTGATGATGATTAATAAATCCTGTAGTTTCTGTCATTTATTAGTTAGCTGGACCAAAGACACTCATCTTCATGTCTCCAGTGGAGATGTAGAATCCTAAGCCACTGCATATCTCCAAGGTCCGATGCTGTCCTGAGCAGTTGTCTCGTGCTAGGCTTTGTTTGTCCTCTCCAAGTCAGCAATTTCAGGCAGGCACCAGTGGACTGTGTCTTTCCAACACCAATACTGAACTTGTTCTGTTCGGCCAGAATTGACTGTGGCCCAAGCAAGTTGAGAGGTTTGATACTTGCAATCGGTGCTCGTATATTGGAAAACTGATAATCATTCATTAATATTTTCTAATTGTTGTAGATAATTAAGTGATTTAGTGGTGTTAGTCTGCACTTGATCAAGCCACGTACCCACCAAAAAACATTATTTTAATCAAACTCTAAGATCAAGTGTACAAAATATCCAGGTATCTAACGAAAAGAGGGTGTCCCCTGTCTTGTACAAAGACTTTAATCACCCAATTTTGGATAACTAAAGAGAATTAGACGTCAAATTACAAAACTAACCCGTCAATATATATATATTAGGATGAAAATAATGATATTAAATTAGGTCTCCTTCGATCCATCAATTTAATGACTCAATATCTAACCAAGTTAGGATTCAAATTAAACCTAGTTAAAGTTGATCTAAATAATTTGAGGGATTAACCCATGACTACATCAACAATATCAAAATTTAATTTAATTTAAAAATATATATAAATAATATCATTTAAAATTAATTTAGATTAACATAGCCTAATAAACTTGACTTGCGCCGGATTTAATAAATTATGAATAAAAAGACTATTATGTCAAAGTGATCTGTTATTCAAGTAGTAGACATTAATGATATAGTAAGCCATCTCCAATAACATGTGAACATTCTTCACCCTTCAATAAAATTCTAATTGCGGGATCGATCATCCACTAGTGCTTAGATTATGAAAGCAATTACTTGGCTATAATCTTCTCCACGGCTTGTCTACTGACTTCGTAAGGAGGTCTCATGTTTCTTGTCCATAGACACGTGGACAAACAACAAAGCACATGGATCTCGCTTAGTTAAAAGGAAATGTCAGAGGAAGTGGATAGTGAGTGGTACAAGCACCACCGGCAATATAGAGAGTACGTGTAGGGTGTACCACAAAACGGGGCGACAATACTTAATTTAACTCCCCCAACTCAATTTGACAGTAACATTTATCTTTGGCATTCGTATCGTTCACATCCCCTCCTCATCTTTCTCTGTTCGGTTTCTAAACAAAAACTGAAAACAGGGTTCTGTTTCTTTCATCATTCTCTTTCGTTTTTTTCTTTTAATTCGACGGGTGTCTTTACCATATTTTGAGGAGCTGAGGAAATCATCAAGAGAGAAGAGTTTCTTGAAGGGTTTGTCCTGGTTCTTGATTTCTTGCTTTTAGTGAGTTTCTGGTTAGAGTTTATGCCTCCTTTAAATTTCATTTTGAAGCTAGCTCTGATTTGTCGGCGTCGATTTCAGAACTCCAACTGATAGAATATATATTACAGGGAGAATGATACTTGCGATTTGATTATGAAAGAAGTTTTCTTTGGTATCATTCCATTACCTTGTCAATCAAATTAATTAGTTAATGCTAGATGTGGCTCTATTTCCTTCGCACCAACATACATCTGGCTATAGAAAGCTGTGATATTGCTCATCTGTTCAATAAGGTTATCATTTATAATCATGGATCAGGTGTTCTTCTACATGCATTAAAGATGTGTCCTGCATGCAAAACTTATTGAGAGACGGATAGACTTGGTTTGTTAACAAGTCAGATTTTGGAATGTTCATATACATGTAAAGCATACACCTCTTGAATGATCGTGAATTAAAATTTTATTTTTTCTGGGATCTGGTCTTTGATAGGCAAAGGATCATGTGACCTCCTTTTGGTCAAAGGAACAAGTGGAGGTCACGACCATCTATCTAGCTCTGTATTTTCCTTCTTGACGTTTATCTGGCGTCCAGTTTCCCTAGTGGAAGAGCTGTATATTTTGCTGTGCTAAGCTTGCTCGAACATGTCTAACATCTCAATTGATTATGTGACCAGCCAGACACGCACTGAGTTTCCTGCGTCCCGTTTCGCCTCGTTAATTGAGAATGGGAGGTGCAGTGGGAAAGGCTGGTTCACCTAAAAAGGCATGGATACCGGAAACAAAAATTGAAGCAAAAGTGGTCGAAGCTATGCGGCGGAGGGAAATTCATGGAAGTTCAATAAAATCATTCAACAGCATAATCTTAAAATTCCCAAAAATAGATGAAAGCTTCAGAAAATGTAAAGCTACTTTTGAGCAATTTGGTAAGTCTCCAGTTTCGCTCTGTATGTTTTCTTTTTTGTAGATTTCTTTTGGCTATAAGCAATTAAACATGAGACTCAAGGCTTTATTAACCAAAATTTTCACTTAACTTTTTTTTAATTATACATGAAAAAACATGTTTATATAAATTTTTTTATTAGAAAAAAAAATCTGACCTAGGATCAAGTATACAGTGATTACATAAAACTTGATGGTTGATGCTCTAGATATCTTGAATTTTTCCTTGGATCAAATTAATCCCAGGAGTTCATCCAAAATACTGATTTCCAAGGCAGATTGACGGGATTGTTTGGTAGTACAGATGACTAAACCATGGATTAAGTTACAGCACTTTTCCCCTAATATTCAAGGGATGCCCTCATGCTGTCATGATACGAACGCACAGAAATTACAGACAAATACATCCCTTTTCTTCTTTGTTTACTTCCAAATTCCAAGTTGTAAGAGTTCGTTTTGTTTCCTTGCAGATGAAGATTCCAATGGGTCCATTGATAAGGAAGAGCTCCGGAAATGTTTCCATAAGCTGGAGACTGCGTTTACAGATGAAGAAATTAACGATCTCTTTGAGACATGTGATGTTAATGAGGACATGGGCGTGAAGTTCAATGAGTTCATTGTACTTCTCTGTCTTGTCTATCTTCTCAAGGATGATCCTGCTACCCCTCAAGCTGTATCCTGAATAGAGCAGTTAAAGCTCCGCCATTATGATTTATAGCTGCTGCTTTCCATTTTTTCTCGAACCGAACTTGGCATGTTCCATCCACCACATGCTTCTGACAGTTTAAATCATTTTCTTCTATCTCTTGATGAGAGAGCTCTTCATGTTTTACAGCCAAACTTCCAGTTCTCCACCTCGTTTTCTAATTAATTATGTGCTGTCAACTTGCATTTGTGCCAAGTCTAGGAAAGGTTATCACCTCTCCTGGAATTCCCATCGTTTAGCTTCTCAGTTCAGTTCTAGAGTGTTTCAATACAAGAGAATTTGTTTTTCTTGTGATAAGGGCTTGATAAGCTGATCGTTATCTTGCCTTGCTGTTTTGGCTTATCTAATCAAAATAAACAGCAAAATTTTGTGTTTCTCCTTCGTTTTCTGCCATATATGTTTGAAATCCATGACATGTTTAGAAATCACGAATAGGCATGCCGGATTTGGAGGCCACATTTGAAACACTGGTTGGGGCCTTTGTGTTCTTAGACAAGAACAAGGATGGTTACGTCAGCAAGAGTGAGATGGTACAAGCCATAAATGAATCTGGGGAGCGTTCGTCTGGACGAATAGCCATGAAAAGATTTGGTTAGTCTCTCCCTCTCCTCTCTAGACATTCCACTTTCATATATCTATGTGTAAGGTCACTTGTATTGTACCTCAAAGGATATATAGTCCCATTTATGTGCTTGGGACGACATTCAGCAATCAGAACACGCTCTAAAACAATGCAGGTCCTTGTAGGCAAGAAAGAAATTCCCTCTGGTTTACTGAGTGATTATTAGCCGTCTCATATTGGCACCCAAGTGGATTGCTCGACAAGGGTTTAGTTTGCATGTTAACGAATGTAGATTTATTAGAATCCAATCAATTTATACCCGAGGCTTCTGTTTACTGATCATTACTGATGATGAGGAACCAGTTCTGCTTCAGCCACACGGGGGCAATACTTTTGTTTGAAGAAACTCTAATCTTGGTCCTCACTTTACAATTGCAGAAGAGATGGACTGGGATAAAAACGGAATGGTGAATTTCAAGGAGTTTCTGTTTGCTTTCACTAATTGGGTTGGGATCGATGATAACGAAGATGAGGAGGAAGGAGGAGAGGAGGACTGAATGTATGCAAATTCTCCAGCTCCCTACTTGACGAATCATGGTGACCTGGAGCTGACATTCACAGACGTGATAGTTCCTATATAAGCTCCTGTTTGTCTCTTCAATAAATGATCAAAAACACATTCTATGTTTTGCTGGGTAGGAAGAAATCCTGTTCCGTCTATGCTTTGTGATGTAAATTGGGTTCAAGTATACAACCTTCATGCTTGTTGGATGCATTTTGCTATGAACTATTTAATGCAGTATTATAAGATGAATGATTTCAGAAGGCTGCATTTGTTCAGAGATAAGCATTCTGCCATGCAAATACTGCATGCCCTTGCAGCGGCGCTATCAATCTCAACTTGCCTCAACTCCGAGTCGAATAGCTGATGTCAAACTATTTTAGTTACTCTTGAAACTCACTCACTCTGAAAGAAGAGACAAACTGAAGAAGAAGAAGGTAAAATCTAACCCATTATCTTCATCTATGATTTATCTTGTATCCATCTATTCTTCTTTTAGAGTGGATCTCGCTATTTTCATTGGCTATTGTCAGAGCACCATAAATATAATATCTGTCGCTTCCCTGGGCACATGATATTGATTAGGATAACAGCCGAGTAGAATACTACGAAAAAGATCAAAGAAGAGAGGTAGGGAGAAGGGGCGAGAGGGCAGATACACTTAAATAGGAGACGGCCGAGAATGCCTTCAACAAATTCGAGTGTTGCCTACCATACCATCATAAAATTTTATAAATCAAAACATATAAAACATGAAAAATCAGATTAAAATTTAAAAATTAATAAAATCGATCAAATCTGGTTAAACTCGTATAAAAACAGGTCAACTTGTAAATAACATTACAAGCGTATTGATTTCATGTAAAATTTAAAAGAGTCTGTCAATTGTCATGCTGAATTGTTGATTGTTATACCAGTGCTGACTTAGTATTTTTTTTTTTTTTCAATTCCCAGTCTGACCCTTTGTCCTTCACCCCTTTCCCTTTTTCTCTTTCCCCTTTTTTTTTTTTTTTTTTTCAATTCCCAGTCTGACCCTTTGTCCTTCACCCCTTTCCCTTTTCCTCTTTCCTCTTTTTTTTTTTTTTTCCTTTTCCCAGTAAATTAAAAAATCAGATTAAATTAAGAAATTGATTGATTTGATTCCACTCTCTACTGAGTTTACTCACCAGCAACGCTGTCTCCAGTCTATACTCTTTATTTTTCATTCTCCACTCTCTAAGCTAGTTTTGCTTACAATCAAGATCTAAGAGTGTTTTCTTAAGGAGACGAAAGTAAGAATTTACTCCCAAGTTTTGTTTTTTCTATCTCAACTAGTATGTGAATAATGATAGTGATTATGATGAAAGTTTTAGAAAAATAATTTAATAAAAAGTGCTTTTTATGAGATTTATTATTAATTTCAAAATATTTAATTAAAACTGCAGTTGAGATTATGATTAAGAAATAATTTGTTGTATTTAGTTAATATGTTTTTTGTATGAGGTTTGATTGTAAAACTATTATAGAAAACATTATATATATAGATAAAATATTGTTATTTTATAAGTAGTATGATTACATAACAAAAAGAATAATTCTTGTATATTAATAAAAAAAATTATTATCCCATCAAATTATTTATAATTCTATATCATACAAAATCTATACGTAAAGACCGCTGTGATCATTGAATAGCTAAACGAAAAACAATATCAAATAAAAAGTTATCTGAAATAAAATTAGAATTACAATTATACTCGAAAAAAACCCCATTATATTGTGATCGTCTTCTAATATATGCAACTACAATTTAATTGTGGTTTTTTAAAAAATAAATTTTAAAAAACATATATTTGATTAAAAATATTATACAATAATTTTTCATATATAAAGTAAATAAAAAAACAAATCCATAAACATGTTCTAGTTTTTACAAAATTAAAGTTTCAATACAATTATACGTGAATTAAAAGTTTAAATAAAAAAATATGAATTAACAGAGAAGAAGATAACAAAGTTTTTAACTCAATTGCAGGAAAGTTTTGTTACTATAAAAAAAAGTGTCAATGAAAGGAGAATATTAAGTGAAAAGTAGGTGTGAGTTGCTTTTCACAAGTTGAGGTCCAATCTCAGTTTTTATACGCGGTCTATATTAAATAAAAATATGATTTGAGATTATCAAATATTAAAATTTTGTTTTTATTATAAAATATAGCTGTAGCTGTAATGCCAAGCAGATAGTGAGTGTTGAATTTTTATATCACGTTAATAATCTAGAATTTAGATGCTCTTATTAGTGGAAAATGAAACGGGAAAAGATTGCGGAACTCTCTCTGCGACCTACATATTTAATTTTTAAATATTTGATTTTTGACTGTCTCGATAGTCCCTTCGTTCTTCTAGGTTTCTTCGTTCTCCCTGGTCTTTTTGTTTTTTTGGTCTCTGCTCTCTTTGTTTTTGTTTGGTTGGTTCCTCAATTTTTGTTTCTATCTTCATCCTTTGTGTTTATTCGTCCCTTGTTTTGAAAACACACATAATGATTTGACTCTCCCTTTGCTTGCTGAACTTCTCAGTAAGTTCTTTGCTCGAACTGGACTCCACTCACAAGTATATATCCCTTCATATGTTTTTCATCAAAATGCATGTTTATATGTTTAAATTCTTACATAGTAGTAACATATAAATCTTGATTTCCAGTCTATTTTAGCTGTGCTATTAAGAATAAAAAAATTACATAAGCATGTGAAACAATATTATAATTACATTGTTAGCAACGGATAACAAACAACAAAAAATATTTTAAGATTAGAGAATTGATTCTTGACTTAATCTACATCTTAAGTAAAGTATCTGGGTATTTTGTGTTTATCTTTTACTATTAATTGGTTTGTTACCGTTCTGTTAAGTTCAAATATTGTGCACCTTCATGTTTTGCTTGCTTAAAAGCCTCTTTCTGGACAAGTTCATATTTCTATGTTTACTTTCTATGTGATTTAATGATTTTAATGAAAGTATAAGAGAAAAATAAACACAATAAAGGTATATTTACATGACACATCAATATATTCTTTATTTTAGATTTATTAACTTTTAATTAATGAAATCCTATAAACATATATGAGTTTTTATTTAAATTATACATTTTAATATATTTGAATACTTATATTATTTATTTAACTTTTATTTTAATTATATCATTTTATTATTTAATACTTGATTGTATCTTGCAATTTAATTAAAATACTTTACTAATAATTTTATAATTCAAATTTATATTATATTATATATTTCATACCGTTTGAAAAAAATATTTTTAATAATCCTGTTGCCTACTCTTAACGGCACACAACACTCCAAACCATACCTTGACCTTCCCATCGACCATCGAAACTGTCATCACAATTTTAATTTAATACATTAGCGGTCTTTGATTCCAAACTGCCTAGAGCAACACCCAAAACCACAACCCCGCAACTGAACCGGTCCCTTAATATGCGATACCGCCATTAAACCTCCCCCCACAAACAGAAGATAAACACACACCTCATATAGAAACAAGTTAGAACTGGCACAGACAGTGCCGGTGCCCCGATGGCGGTTGGGAGCATTGGCTGACACAGGATAACCTGTGCTGTCAGAACCGCTGATCACTGGGAGAACTAGTAAACAAGCTCCAAGAGCCCGCTATGTTCAAGAACCCACTACCCCCTTGTCTTGGCCCTCTTCATACCTAGGCTGTTGTTAAAGGGGGAGACGGAACCTGACATGGGAGAACCTTCCTCACGAAATGTACCATTAAGCAACGCTAGCTCTCTTAGCTGCTGCTTCTTGTAGTAATCCTGTGATTCATCCTAAACATGAAATGAGAAAAATTAAATATCAGCCCTGATAAGAAAAGAATGATGCTTGCAAGCTTAGATGCAAGAAGAGGAGGGAGTTAATTTCCAAGCTAAATATATGCAAAGAAGGAGTAAGTTAATTACCACGGGCTTCAACAAGTCTTCGAGTATCTCCCGTGCCTGCATTAGTTGTGCGTCAACTATTTCAACTGGCAATTCACCCTCAACCAGGATGTGGAGAGGTTCATTTAGATGCTCATACCCTGGTTTCCCTCTCATCATATCTTCCTATAAGAAATGAACAGTATATCGTTCACATCATGTAACGAATCCGAGGGGACATAATATCACAATTTATGACAGACAAATTACACTCTAGCAAGCAGAAGATGGCAATGGTTGGACAGAACTGTTATAAGTTTTGACCCGAATTCTTTTTTAAAATATATAAAGTAATCTTCCAAAAAACTGAAAAATGTAAATTTGCACCATGCATATAATTTCTCATACAGCACATGCACAGTCAGATTTCCCAGAGACTAGCTAGGACCACAATCATCTACAGGTTCCAGCGAAGATTGTTTGATCACTAATCTCAAAATAAAGTACTTCCGCTTCCTAGTTCTCCTCTACCTCAAAAGGTTGAAGTCGTACTCAAGGACCACTATAAGTTTGAGACAAAGATTATTCAACTAACAGAAGAAAATTTCATTAATACCCTGGCTGGATCCTTAATGCTGCCACGGCCTCTGATCAGAACACGGCACTCTGTGCTTGCTTCCACTCGCTTAAGGGAGTTCCCCCTAGGACCAAGAAGGCGCCCAACAAAGTTGTACTGCAACAAAAGATGAATGTCAAGAGGCTGCGGAAAAGGAAAAAAAAAAAAACACGGGAAAGAGCAGGTGATTTGTACATTAGGATATTTGTCGACAGGAATATCCACTCTGATGGTTCTCTTAACAATAAGACCAGATGAGCTACCTCGAGAGCTCAGCCAGTTTTGTGCTGATGAGGGCTGTAAAATACCTGACATCTGCATGACATAATTCCAGATCTTGTCAAAAAAACCACTATCTATATTCTTGTGGCTTCCTACTTTATACTGTGGGCATAACAGTACTTATCCCCCAGGAAGCTTCATCGAGCACCAAAAGCATTTCGCAACTCTGTTGGAGTAGCCCACCAGAATACGTTTAAGACACTATAACAGGTGGGGAAACAAACAAACAAACTAGGCAGATGACAGCTAAGAACATGTTGACAAATGAACCATTAAAAAAAAGAGACCCAATGCAGGAACTATGTTAAGGCATTCCCACCAAATATAATGAAAATAGAAGGCTCTAAACCTAGAAACTTATGTGTTAGTGTGCTCAACGGCCTTGTCATCTTTTAGATTGGTCAAGGCTCCAGGCTTTCTGCTACAGCGCTATCATGGATTGAACAACTTTTATCAATTCAAGGGTCAGAATTCTACAAAAAAGTGTACCAAACTCCGTCTTGTCTGGAAGCAGTTGCTTAATACTCAGCATGACATGCATCCTTCCTTGAATGAATTGCAAAGCCAAGCCAGAAGTAATTCTTTGAAATAAAAGGTATTAGGTCTTTGATTTTGTCTCCAATGAGAAATTAAATTCATGTATTGGGCTTAACCATATAATTAAGAGTGATATCCAGGAAAGATGTGCAAAGTTAAGATCTACTTTTCACTGCTTGGTGATGTTAGCCTCAGACTCACTGCCTGCCATGACAAGCCTGGCAATTCAAACTACATGCTTAGATATAAGTTAGCATAAAAGGTAAATATAGTCAGAAATGCTTCTAAAAACAGTAAATTCAGATGAAAAAAAAGGTCATGTTAATGGTTAGTATCCGTACTTCTGATTGAAAACGTGATGCCCATCCATTTGCATCAGCTGCTCCATTTGAAAATATTCCTCCAGAAGCCAGAGGGCTAGCATGTTCAAGCCCACTTTGACCTAAAACTGACGCATTCCCCAACAGTGTAGTTACACGCAATATTTCTGCTCCAAAATGTCAATTTTCAAGAACAAGATGTACCAGTTAGCATTGGTTATTGGTTAGCAGTCACCACAAACAGACAAGACGGATTGTTAACTGAGTTAGTTAAAAATCAATGCTTGCCCCATGAAATACTTAAACTTTCAGAAGAACATAGTCTGATATGAAAAGTTTAAGGATCCCAATGTTAAGTGATAGCCTGGAATATGCATAATTAAACAAATAAGAAAGTTAAAACATTATTTGCTTTAATTAGTTTGACAGAGAATAAAAGCAACTAATAAAATTAATTATTCGAGTCACGGAAGTAAAGAAAACTCAAGGACATTGTATGCTACCAATTTGCAGCCTGCATTAAAACAACACTATCTAATCAACACCATAAGTTTGCACCACCGCAAATAGGAAAATTGTTACAAGTATTTGCTAACAGGGAGGATAACGCAAGAGATAAGGAGGGAAAATAAAACCAAGACATGGCAGAAATCGCTCAGAATTAGATCAACCCGCCCATTTTGGCTATAACATCAGCATCTGAATTTGCCAAACTTGGTGCCCAATATAAGCTGCAAGCAGAGTCTATAAGAAAACCAGGCAGAGTTTTAGATCACATTGACCATCAGCTTCTTGAGATGTCAAAGATGTCCCCAAGTGATAAGTTACTTGAACAACAGATAACCCAACTATCCCTAGCCCACTCTGTATATTGGAAGATCTCTTTCTGCAAGATGAGTTAAAGATACTAAGTGTGCAGCCTCATTTCCAAAAACACAAACTAACCAGTTGGTTTTCTTAATAAATCTAATAGGCTGTTTGTCATCGGTATTACCCCCCCCAAAACATCAAAACAGTGTCTTGCTTGTTGATTCAGATGTAGAATCCACACCAAAGATGATTATGTTAAACAAGAAACCTAACACAAAAGATAAAATCCTATAGTAGAATAAAAAAACGAATTTGCAACTCCTAAGAATTAAAAAAAAAAAAAAAAAAAAAACCCAAAAAGGGTTAA